TTATTTTGGGAAGGACTAATGAACTCTGCTCTGTTTAGCTTTAATCATCTTACGTTAGATTTTAGATTCCTTTTCCAAATCAATAGATTTAATTTTGCCTTGTTGGAATTCAGTGGTTTCCTAGTACAAGTAATTCTGTTTTGGCAAATATAAGACAAAAATTCACTATTCCTTTTTCATTAGATATTATTTAGAATGAAATATCATAAAGATCTTATTTTTAACAGCACAACTCTCTCCTATTTCTCACAAAAGAAACATGGCCTGGTCTAGCCACAGTCGAAGACGGATTTTACTGCCTTTTTAGCTTATTGAAATTTAGTCCAGCTAAATAAAGTACAAGCAGGTGTTGTTTCCTACGGTGATCCCTTCGTCCAGGTTACCTGACAACAGTAACACGCAGATTGAACCACAGAGGTGAGTTCAAGAATTCGGAGAAAACAGACTGAACCTAGATGAAGTTCTTGGGAAGGGTCCCTAAATTTGCCAAGCTTCCACCCCGAATAACAATTCACGATTTTAACTTTTAAGATCCTGAGAAAACTCTCCGTAGCCCAGCGGAAACAACAGAAGTTCAAACGCGTGGCATTGAGTTGCTGTTCATTCAATCAGACAACGCTAAATCCAGCTGCAGGAAAGGTATTCGGAGGGGAAGAAGGAATTCCTGGAGTGAGAGCCAGGAGTAGAGCAATTAATGTAGACAGGGTCAAAACCAGACGTTAGTCTTTTAGATGGACGGAAGAAACGGTGAGTTGCTTTATGGATCTTGGAATCCTTACTGGTCGATATTCAACCTGGCTTTTATAAAACTACAAGTGTTGCTTCCTACAGTGATCCACCGGCCCGGGTTACCTGACACACTGGGGTGAACTGACCCATAGAGGTGGACAGGTAGCGTGAAGCAGACGCTGTTTTTATTTAATATGACTCAAAAGAGTCAACCAGGGTATGTTTTTTCTTTCCTCCCTCTCAAAGGATCAGCACTCAGGACCACAATTCTGAAGAGCACAAAAAGGCTGATGTTACACAAACGGGACTGCTCCCCACGGCCCTGCAGATCCCCAGGATCCTCACGTCCTCCCCCGCGCACCACGGACACGCGCATCCCTGTCGGCTTTAGCTCATTCCCTCACTTAAACCCCCGCGTCAGATGCACGATGGGCCTAAGTCGTCAGAAAACACCAGCGGTCAGTATGTGTCGGGCGAGGAGGAAGCGGCGTTTCAGCTACGTAAGGAGTTTGACGTAAAGGACTAGATATCTGCAAGTTCAAGCAGCAGCTGAGCAAGGTTTTTGCATACCTAAGATTTGCAGGGAGATACTTGTAACAAGAGCTCAGAAAAGAAATTGCACATTCTGTGGATCTAGCCTAAGATAATTAAACCAGGCTGTTTAAATGATTAACCAAGCTGATCATCAGGCTTTCCCAGAATCCTGTCTTTGCTTTTTACAGTCCCACAGAAATGAAATGGGATAAAAGCGCTAGATAAATTAATGCAAAACGTGCACATCATTCTCATTATAGGAATAAACTCCAGCAACTTCAAGGGAGTAAAGTAACTATCTAGTTCTTACAATAGTAAGATTTCAGAACAGATTTTTTTTAAACAGAGGTTTACAGACAAGCAGGATTTAAAAATGCAACCTGCCCTTCAAGACATGACCCATCTGTCAGGAAACATTTTCTTGAACTATCTTGTGTTCTTGCTTCAAAGAAGCAATTTTCTATTTTAGAAGTAGTCCCTTTTAATAGGAAAATAGAAAATAGAAATAGAAAAACTTGGTCTAAGTTTGTAGAATTCTTTCTTATATACTTAAGGAAAATCTTTTTTTTTTTTAAATTTGCTTCTGCCATTATATCACACGGGGTTTTCTAGAAATTCTAGAAAGACTTATGTGAACTTACAGTAAGAAACTGTATGTATTCGTAGGAGAAAAAACACCATGTACTTCTTAACTATATACTTATACTACCTGTTCTCCTTCTGTAGTACACAGAGCGGCACAGCATTGACTTTACAGATAAGGGGAAAATAAGGAATATAAATAAGACGCACAAAAGATGTAATAATAATACGCCTAAGTAGCAAGATATAGTTTAAAGCAACTAATGTTTATTAAGAATGCTCATATAAGCTTTAAAAAATTGTGTTAAGGTCTGAGATTGCTGTTATGCTTTCACGAGATAGTACTTGGTTCCCAATGTCACCGAAAAATATGCCTGAGATTTTATTGAAAGGCACAGACTGAAAGCACCACAAAAGAATTTTTAATATGCCTATGTGATTCGTGGTAGACTTTTATTCCAAGACAGTGAATTGTGAAGTACTTATTTAAAATTATATTTAACATAGGTCCTACCTGTCAGAAAACTCAATTTCAAAAAAGTAAACAAGTTTTTAATATGAAGCTATTTTCTACCATAACCATGAACATATGCTGTGCATGTGTCATTCCCAAAGTCTCAGCCTCGTGAGACGGAAAACGCACACTCGGTTTGAAACTGAGGTTATAAGGATTTGCCTGCCGGTCAAGGCTGTAACTCCTTTGGCACGGAAACAGCAGATGAAGCCGTTCGGAGGATTAGCTCGTTCCAAAGGAGCGTGCAGGAACACCCCGGTGAAGCGACCCCCATAAGGTATCTCAAAAGTACACCACCAAAAACTTGTGGAAAGAGAACAGAATTTTGAAAGCTTAAAATTTGACCAGAAATAGGTCAGCAAAGACTGTTGAAAAAGTTTCCTATAGAACGGAGATGAAAGGAGGACAGAATCCAAAGGTAAAGAGGATTCAGGAAAAAAAAGAATGGGAAAGTAATTCACCAGCACACATAGTCAGTCCATCTGAAGTCGTGGCAACCTGGGTTTCTGTCTCATCAGAGGCTGCGGGCAACAGCGATGGGCTACAAAAGCCGCCCAAGAAGCTGGAAAGCTGAGCAAATACCCAGGCACTCAGCCTGTGCTGCACCCATTTATGCACTTAATTAATTGCCAGTAATTGCAAAATTAGCCTGAGAAGCCTACTCTTCATTAGCAGTATTTTAATTATATATAAGGCTTTAGAAAGAAAAAAATAAGAAAGCAAGGCATAGGATATTAAAAGGGAAGGGAACTGTATGGTAGAAAAGACTTGAATACACCAAAATTCCCTGCCAAAAGGGGAAGGTGAGAAAGGAGAGGAAAATACCCAAGAGCAGGTTAAAGCACTTCAGGAAGGCAGTAAGTAAGAAACTTCACTGTAACTGGCAGGACAAAATAATTTAGTTGATGTTACTCATCATTTCAATTTGGTGAAAGCCAGAAAGGGGGAAAGGGGGGGGGGGGAAAAAAAGGAAAAGGCCACAAATAGCCAGACAGCATCATCTGAGAGTTTACCAGGCTCGTGTCCTGTTGGAAATGAATGCTTTTAAGGTCATAGACACCATTTCAATATATGCTCCTCGTAAGAGCAATCAAATCTGGGCAAATACAGAAAGAAACACTGTGCAGCTAAAAAGAGTATCTACTTCAGATTTCAAACAGTGATGAGAATTTTAAAGCTGCTTTGAATAGCACAACAGTTATAATTACAAACCATACGGTCTTAAGCTGCAGCACAGTAATTTTTAAATCAGAAAAAGTGTATTTTTAAAAATCTGGGAACATCTGTATTCCTAAGTCCCAACCTACAGCACATACCTCTCAGCTACTCGTTTCAACCTACACATTTCTATTTTTAAGCTGAGAATACCTTGTGGCATTTAAATTCCCCAGGACAATCTCGTAACGCCCCCAGAAGTAATTTTTTTAGTCAGTCAAACCGGTTTTGTCATCAGAAAGACGACAGCTCCCATGATAAAAACTTTTTATTTAATTGCTTTCTGCAAAGACGTTTTTCCTTCGCTGCAGCTCCAGCACGACTGTTACTACAGCAAACGGAGCAGCTCTAAGTTACAGCTTTTTCGCTAGCGGAGCCGGGCTCTGTTACTAACATCACAAGGGATGTTACTTATTTTATCAAATGTATTCAGTTGGGTAGGAAAAGGAACAATAAGCAAAAACTACACCATAAATACCATAAACTCCCCTCCTTAACAAGATTTTTTTAAGCTGTAACAGATACTACTTATTTTTACAAATTCCTTGTTGCGTCGTATCATTTGCTGCAAAATTAGCCCAAAGAGCAACTGCCAGTTACCGAAGTACCAATATTCCTTCCCAAATTCCTCTGGGTGGTGACACATCGTCAGATGTTGAACCACTTCCTGCACAAGGCGGCGGGGCCGCAGCGCGGCAAAGCGCGAAGTGTCACTGCTGAGCCACGGCTAACAGCCACGGGGCAGAAATTACTAGAAAAATGAAAAATTACTTCAAAAATGAAGTTTTCTGTCTTTCTCTCATACTCTCCAAGGACTTACTCAACCGTGAAAACCAGCTTCTAGTTACTTGTAGTAAGTGAGACTGCGTTCTCCAGAAACACATTCGCTTCTGTGACCAGCCAAGCAGACGGGATTTACTAACGGGAGACATTTATACTACACACATTGCAGGTTTAGGGTGCTTGTATATTCACTAAAAGCGATTCTTGGATATTTATTTGAAAATAATATTAAAATTCCTTGCCTTGTGATACATCAGTTAGTTATATAAGGAGTCATGGGGGAAGAGGGGGCAGAAAGAAGAAGAAATACTGTCCCTGTAGGTTAGTTACATAACTGTCGACTTCGGAGTTCAATATTAAATATTTACACGGTTCTGACATATTAATGCAAGGAAACAAATCTGTAAGCCCTGAAAGCACATATATATATTCACACATTCCTCAGCCTGCTCACAAACATTTGTGAGCAGCGAAATGTTAATTAAAATACTCACTCAGCTTCAAGAGATGCAATATGTCGAGCAAGATTCTCCTGACTGGCACCTCCAAGGAAACACCTTTTGTGATGATCAGTCATTAGGACGGGGTCCTAACTCCACCCGCGGCGATGGAAGGGAGCAGGACCGTACAGCTATTTCTATAGTGTTTATATTCAGTTTTGTTTGCTTATGTTGCCACTTGGAGAAAAGGCCAATATGGGAATTTGAATCACAAGCCCTGTTCTTCAGGATTGCAAGGGAAAACCTTGACAGCCAGTCGTTACAGTTTTACTGTATATTGCTCAGAACTAAAAATGTCTGGTAATTATAGCCACATATTCAAAAGGTAAAATACAGTTTTCAAATGTAAGAATCAGGCCTTGAAAGTTGTTCTCTGTGTTTATTAATAAGAGTTCAAGTGCAGTTACTCAACAGTGCTTGCAAGGTCATGTCCTAGCTGAGTTTTACTTATGCAATTAATACTTCTGGAGAATCTCTTACTGGAAAATATGTGAGAAGGTTTTATATTCCATCCCAAAGTTCTAAACGTCATTACCTCATGTCCCCAGCTGAGAGTTAAGTCGTGCTTGGCAACCTGGAAATTTATCTAATGAGCAATATCTAAAAGCAACCCAGTTTTGCCGATGATCTACACATCTCTAATGAAGGGAAGGTATCTATGGGACTTAATTTTTTGCAGCCCAACACAGATTTGTAGAAACCAGATGTAGGTCACTTTACATTATGAAACAGTTATTTAATTCGCAGGTCCCACATGACACAACATGCACATTTTGCACTTTACAAGTTCTGAATGTGTTGTTACTGAAGCCAGCTCAAGTCTTCAATATCACTGACATCCAATAATGAATGTGCTCCCTGAGCACACTTTGTGCTGGCCAACAGCGTAGAGCTGGTAGAGTCAAGCAAAACCAGAGTGAAACCATTCACTGGACAAATGCTTGGCTCCTGAAAACTGTTCCGCTTGATCCCATCTGTGTTTTAGAAGCGATACATCTGCTTTTTTCTGAGTCCATGGTGCATGTAGTATAATTTCCATACTTCCTTTAGAGTTATCTGTTCTTCAGCATAGAGTGACACCTAAATCAGGCTGTCCTTGCTGACTCTCAGAAGTGGTGTATAACTTATGGTTTCTTTGTTGTTGTGTCTTACAGAGACACCAAACGTATGGCATTTCCAGATTTCCACATTACAAAAAAAATGTCAATTGACAAACTGAAAAACCCCCAAACCACTATTGGATGAGCA